CCTTTCAACAGCCCAGCGAGATAAGCAGGAAGATTTTCATTTATAAGCTGACAGTTCTACCATATAGACCAAAATTCCCTGAGGAAGTCTATCCCTCCAGAATTCCCCCAAATGCTCTGCCTGCTCCATCAAGGCTCGTTAACAGAAGGAGCTCTTTATATACCTGAGGCACTTGGCTAGTGTTTCACAAACAGGAGTAACCTGGGTAAGAATCCCCCACTAGCTGCTCAGCATACAAAGTATCAAGTGAAGAGCCCAGGCAGGGCCCAGGCTGAGATTTCCATGATCAGATATCTAAGATGCTTTCCATTCCTAAGTCTTTGATAGTTTCCCTCAGTCTTCTACTCTGGAATTTCCCTTCTAAGAAGCTTTACACACATAGAGCAGAGTGTGGGTGGCTGCTCTTCTTTTGGTCTCCTAAACGCTAGTCCCCCGCGTCCTAAATATTTGCTCCCAACCCAAAGTGAGTGAGGCCTCTTGAAGCAAGAGGAAGCAGAGATGCAGGGCGGGGCTGCACCTACGTGTCCTCCAGGTTCTCGGCTGGTTCTTGTCCTCCCTCTTAGCCACTGCTCTTCGTAAGGCCCCTTCGCTTCCCCTGGAATAGAAACTTCACATGGCGCCCATGAGGCTCACCATCACACCTGTCATCACACCACAGCGCCCTGGAAAGAACTCTCAGGTTGCATTCCCATCCAAGGATATGTATTCTGGGAATTCCCAAACACACACCAAGCACATCACATCTACCTCCAATGCGGCAGAAAGGCACTCTCCTCAAGATAATATTTACAGAAATCCAATGCGTATTTGCAAAAAGCCAATTCTCTGTGATATGTCTCCTAGAGGGAATTGTGGGACTCTATCCACACCTTTCAAATTTCTGCTCCATGTGCCCCTGGGAGGCAGTGGCTGTCCCAGGGCTGTTGCGGCTGTGAAGCCAGAGAAGACCTGGGTTTATTTCCAGCTTCGCCCCAAAATTCTTGCTGGGTAACTCTAGATAACTAACCTCACCTCTCTGTGAGGTTTCCAATTTCCTCAAAATGGGTTTTTGTAGAGACTCTGATAAGCAAATACATAGAAAGCGCTAGAGCCTAACTGTTAGATCCCTACCCCTCCTGTGGTCAGCTTCAAGTGGTAGCTCACAGCAGAGGAAAACAATGAGTGTAACTATCCTAACTTTCTACCTGCAGAACTCATATGCTAGCTACCATCCCCCCAAATGTTACTCATACTTATTTAGTATAAAAAGTAAGAGAGACCATGTTATGGGATCTGTTGAGGGTGGCAGGAAAAATATGCTTCCCAGATCCTCCTCGGACTAATTGGAGAATGTGAGTCTTTCCTCTTTACCAGTCGCCCCAGTAACACCGAGTAATAGCGATGGTAGAAGCAGAATCACCAAAAGGAATGTGGTGGTGAGGGACATGCACTTGGATTCCAATCAGGTGCGTATGTTTAAGTCTTGCCTCTAACACTTCTTCTCTCGTGGATCCTGGGCAAATGCATTTGATTTTCCATGGGTTTTGTTTTGGGTTTTTGATCTATAAAATGCGGATAACTATAGTACCTTCCAGATGGTGTTGAGTCAGGGATCAAACAAGACAATGCATATAAAGCAAATATCACAATAAATGACACAAAAACACTCAATAGGTGTGAGCTCTTCTTATTAGATATAATTTTTAATTCACTTCTTGATGTAACTGATGACCATGAGACATCTATGTGCTAGGCACTATGCTAGACAGTGGAGACAGGTGACAGCACAAGGTCCCTGCTCTCATCTGCTGAACCACCCTGAACCGCCAGTCTGACGTTCAGAAGCAAGGGCTAGAGTCAAGGTACACCAGACAGGTCATACACACAGATAACCTGAGTAGGAACAATGAGATGTGAGGCTGGGGACACACAGAGAAAGCCCCCAGGCAATTCTACCAGCAAAGAGAAATTCCTCTTTCCAAGAAAGTAACAAACACGGGGCAGTAAGAGGGCTTTGGTCTCAGGAAGGCATCAAAAATAGGTAGCAGCAGAAACAATACAAACAAAGCCTTACAGGGGCTCCCAAATTGTGGCAGAGGGTGGTGTCTGGCGAGGCAAAGGGTATCCGGCAAGAAAGACTGCCCCCATCAGTCCTCAGATTCTAGTGACATTTTAGCTACTGGGTGGGGCAGCCTTCAGGCAAAGGAATACAGAGAGGCTAGGAAACTTAATTCCATAATCTTACCATTTAAAAAATACATGCTAGAATCAACAGCAGGGGATAAATGTTGCATTTAGATCTTTAGTCACATTTTATGTGTATGTATCTCTCTGTCCATATTTTAATGTTCTTAATTATATCTAGGAAGAGTTAACCCTGATAGTATATAGATAACTATAATCATCAAAAGACATGCAAATGTACAAAACCATTTGAATCTAAAATAGAACCCTTGTTCACAAAAATACAAACACAAAGCCTGAGGAAAATCTACAAATGGATTCCTTGCCCCCAAAGACGAATACCCCCTCCTGCCACGCTCCTGTTCTCCCCCCATCCCCACCCCTGCTGACCCCACACCCTTTCCAACAATGTGAATACAAGGTAGTCTGGCTCGAAGAAATTCACAACCACTGTCCGTTCCTGTCACAAATGCCAGAGACACACAGCCCCAGCTTCTAGGGAGAGGCAGCGATGCAGCACCACGCCCCATGCACAGAGAGAAAGGGTGGAAGCCGCACTGAAGATGAAGGATGCACCCCAGGGAAGAGCATCCAAACAGGAACAAAAGGGAGCCCCTTGCAAACCGGGCCCTGGGAATAGGGCATAAGCACATTTATGGGGGCTTGGAAAGCAAGTTATCGGGACTAAATTTCTCTATCTTTCCTGAAAGGTAGCCTAAGTGATACCTACAAGAATGGGCGTGGCCCTCAATGCCAGATCACAGGCAGAGTCCACAAGAAGAACCCTGCAGTCTTTGGACCGGAAAGAAAAAAACAACCTTTCCTCTGTTTATCCCAAACAGAACTGGCAAAGGTATACTGGCTGTAAAGCAAGGGGCATACCTGCACTATACCTTACACATGTAATAGCATGAGAGCTGGGGTGCATCCCTCAGGGCAACCATATAAAAATTGAGCTTTTGTCCCAGTCTTTTTTTTTTTTTTTAATGATACCTTCCACAGCTCTCTGCAAAGACAACTGGCACTGAGAAAATATTGTGCATTGTAAAAGATTTACAATAATGTTTCAATAATGCAAAGTCAATGATAATATCCACAACGTTTCAATTATGCAGTCAATCTCACATAGTGATAAAGGAGGATGTGCTTACATCCGACACCTTTACCTGGCAAAAGGAACCCTACCCTTCCTGTCCCCACTCTTTTCTCCTAAGCAGTGTTTATTATTCCCTCAGACCAGGTGGACAGCAGCTGGAGGTTGGGCGCACTTGTACGGGGTGAAGCTCAAGTGTATGAAAAAGGTAGGACGCTTCAACAAAAATAAACCACTCAAGAATAAAGTGCACCAGAGGCAAGAACAGCGACCTCCTGCCTAGAGAGCTAAGGTCCTGCTTTGGCAATCTCACACACACAGGGCGTTCCAGACATAGCTGAACAAGTGCAAACAGACTCATGCCCCCAGCAAAACCTGGTGGATCCCTGGCAAATGAACTGTAGAAGCAGGTACAGCTCTACCCTAGGGCAGCTGCCGAGCCTCCCAGGGGCCAGTTGATCACTTCCTTTGTTCGCCTTGCAAAGATGGAGTAGCCACCCATTCCCTCACTTACACACACACACACACACACACACACACACACACACACACCTTTCACTACAAAGCACAATCACACTGCTGCATGCTAAATTAACAAATGTCAGTGTCTTTTGTCATTGTCGCTTTGCCCCTTACCCCCCTTTTATTTTTCCAGTAATGCCCACCCCAGCCTGTGGTAAGCCTCATTTCAGCGCAGCGCATAGAAATCCCGAGCCGGGGCGCGGTATTTTTGCCCCTGAGAGCTGGCTCTGATGAAGATGAGGCTTCTGTACCTGATAACGGCACGTCCCCTCTCCACCCCGCCCTGGGCCCTCGCCCCGGGCATTTGACACCCGCTTGCCGCGGGTGGCTCGATCTTGCACACAATGGCAGTGGGACACCGAATGCACCCAGCGTGTGTCTGCGACCCTCAACTAAAATCTGCTCTTAAAACAGCCTATTCTTAGGACGGGGGTTGGGGGGGGGGAAGACATGAAAAATATAAAATGCATCGGGGGGGGGGGTGTTCATCCCCGCTACAGCCTCGTTAGTTGTCCGGACCTGAATATGACGCACCGAAATATGAATAAGGGTGGATGCAGGCAAGAGACAGGGTGAAGACGGAGGGTCCAGACACGCCGCCACCCTGGCGGCGCGGGAGGCAGAGCCGCGGGCTGCAGCCCGCAGAGGGGCGCGGTCGTGCTATCAGGCACCCCTGGGGAAAGGTGTCATCTCTCCATACCCCACCCTGCCAAAAGGCACCTAAAACAAAAAGCACACTCCGCCGGGGGCAGCGCACACTGACACCCCAGGCGGCGCGGGGGTCCAGGGAGGGCCGTGAGCCAGGCGTTATTTGGAAACTGCCGGCTGGTGGGAAAAGAGGATACATAATCAATCCAAAGTTCTCGGCGCCACTCTTTGGCTTTCCTCTTTGTTTTGCTTTCCCCAAACGGCAGGCTCGCTCCGTCTGGGTGGCGCCCGGCGCGCCGGCTAGGCTGACCGCCGCGCTCCACTCCCGGGACCCCGGGTCCCCGTCCCTCCCGAGGGACCGGACCAGGGAAGCCGGCGGGATCCGAGGCGCCCCGCCCGCGGCGCGGCGGGCAGCGAGCGAGCGAGAGGGCGACGCCGGCAACGGCGCCCGGAGCCCCACTCACCGTGATCCGCGGGATGTTCTTCTTGCCTTGGTAGGACATGGTGGCGGCGGTGGCTGCAGCAGCTGCCTCCCTGCCTCCTTCTTCTGCTCCTCCTCGCCCGCGCCGTCCTCCGCGCGCAGCGCCAGAGATCAGGTGGAGCGAATGGTGCGCTGGCCGCGGCCGCCGCCTCCTCTCGCCTCCGCCCCCCTCCCGGGCTCCCGCGGCGGCTGCCAGAGACAATAGTAAATCTCCCCGGTCCCCCTTTCACCCCGACCCCCCCGCCACACACACCCTCCTCCACTCGCGTTCACGCCCGAGCTTTTTTTTTTCTTTTTTTTTTTTTCTTTTGCCGTGCCAGCTGGGACCCCGTGAGACAAGAATGGCTGCTCCGCGACTCCTCCCTCTTCCCTCTTATCCCTATTGATTTCCCTCTTTGCATCTGCCTCACCCACTTTTTCTTTTTCTTGCTTTTTTTGTGACTTACGGGTGCGGCGGAGCCAGCCTGCTCACGGCCACCAGGGGGCGCGAGGGACTTTTCGGGGCGGGGATGCTGCAGTCCCGGGTGGAGGTAGACGAGCGCGAGCGTCGCGCCCCCCCTCCCCGCCCCCGCGCCTCCTGGGGCCGAGCCCCGGGAAGCACCAACACCCTCGGCCATCCCCCGGCCCGGTTTCCCACCATCCCGACCCGCATCTCGGACAGGAGGTGGCCCCTGACTACCGTCCCGCAGAGCGCGCTCTCCTCCTCCTCCTCCGCGCGGGCGGCAGGCGGCGGCGCCGTCTTTGTTACCGCGAAGGGCCGCCTCCGCGGGTAGTTGCGGGAGTAAACCTGCGGCGCGAACCCGGAGGAAGCGGAGACCTGCGCTCGCCTGGCGCAGCGCCCCGCCCGCCCGCTGCGCTCCCGAGCCCCGACCGCACGTATCGGAACGTGTCAAGCACTCACTCACTCTCGCAGCGCTGCGAGGGGCTCTAATGTCAGTTACCGTCAATTGTTCTCTGGATTTTAAAAATAGTCTCAAAACAGTATGTTTCACTGCCCGGCCCCTCGGAATCGATGGAAGAGCATTACGGCTGCTGTGAGAAGAGAGCAGAAAACACCTGTACGCGGAAGGCCCTGGCACACTACCGGTGTGCAACCATGGATGCACGCGTACTACTGTTGCGTCCCCTGGGTAGTGGACTGTGTGCGCTGCTCAGAATCCCGGGTTTACTTTTGGCAGAGCTGACAGGCAAAACTCAGTACGTGATTGCTAACAAAAACATGGCCTTTTGACGCGGGAATATAGCGTCCTTCAGCTACTCACTAAAATTAAATGGCCAAAGGAGACATGTCTGGAGGGGCTTTTATGGGTGTGGGCTAACCGGTGGTCCCTCAACCTTCCTTAAAAATGATTCCAAACATCATTTAAATAACAAAAATGGCTTGCAAGGCGAGAAGTGTAAGACCCTTTCAAGAGCAGTCTCATATCCGCACTCCTCAGCTGTCATTGCTAATGGCCTACTAAATATTCTGCAGATGTCACAAGGCACAACTAGGTCTGTTAGGGATCTGAAATTCACATTTCTATAAGGCAGGCCACTGACCACATTTCTGGACATTGTTTCATTAAATTGAAGGCTTTCTCTGAAACAGAAGAACTATTTAAAGTATCTACCGGAAAAGGATACAGAATGGTCCAGCTTGAGCTTTCCATAAACCTAAAATGAACCAGCTTGGTCACATAAAGGAAGGGGACACCAAGTCCCCTGAAACACACCCTCCTCTCAAGTGAGTTAATCCAAGCTTCTGGTTATTCATGGATAGCTGGACTGAATGCAGGCTTCACAGGGAAAGTCCACAGCCGTTACCACTTTATTTCTGTGATACTCTGGCTCGAAGGATGAATGCCAGGCAAAGTCACGTCACCGTCACTGCACTCTTTTGCAAAGCCTAAGCAGGGCTTAAGGCCAAAGTCACGCCCAAAACATTTTGCTTTGTTCTTATGCTGACACCACTAGCCAAGAGTTGTGAAATTACAAAGCATTCTGGGGATTGGCATGCAAATGAGCAGGATTATATTTAGAACTGGGTAAAAAGAGAATTAACTACATACTATGAAACCCTGCACAGCTCTCTCTATCCTTCCCAAAGATGTGTGGCAAACTTGCTGGGAGGGTTCTTTCCAGTTCTTAAGAAAAGCAAAAATATGTAGGGGATATTTACAATCCTAAGGAAATACCACTGCCTTTTCTTCTTTCTTAATACTAAGAGTTTCTTTCCCTTTCTTGCATCCTATTTATCTCCTGTGTTCCTATCATTATAATCCAGAACACTCTCTACTAAATAGATTTATGCCATATTTTTGATCACATGTCTGTGTGTGTGTGTGTGTGTATGTGTGTGTGTGTGTGGTGTGTGTGTGTGTTGTTTCGAATTAGAAGACTTGGGGTTAAACTCTTTGAGGTCAGGTTTGCATGCTAGAGGCCATGGAGAATGGACTTGTGATGTGTTTCTCTGGAGTGACAAGCTAGGCACAGGAATGCATAATAACCAGCTAATCGGTTCAAGCTGTTGCTACAATCAGAAATGTACAACAAACACTATTTTTCCCCTCTGTTGTTCTCTCAATCATCTTCTTCTTTCTTAAATCAAAAGAAAGTGTCCAAGATGAGTTTGAAGGAAAAAGCCTTCCTTGGCTGGGCCTGTCTTTGAATAAGAAAGGCAGCCCTCAACACAGGATGCCTCTGTGTCTGGCCAGGAGAGTGAGGAGTGGAACCAGCATGGATGTTTTCCACAGTAGAATGACTCTGAATGGTTTTCCTTGGATACACAGCAGTGCTTGGCTTGAGGTATCCCAGGAAACTATGAGAAAAGGAAAAGGAGACACAGAGAGACAATTTATGGCCCCAAAGAAACTTAATTTTGGCCACTAAATCTCCCATACTGGTAGACTTCCACACCTCAATCAAAGCTACTTTATTGGAGTTACTCGGGCCAAAGGCGTGGCATCATCCTTGACTCCTCCTTCAATCCAATTTGCACTCCGTATCGTCTTTTAGGAATTGCTATTGGTTCTGTCTCTTAAGTATATCCGGCCTGATAAAGTTAATTCATGTATTGAGACCCACAAAATGGAGGCTGCTCCAGTGGCCAGGACCATGTCACAAATCTAAACCTAAGCCAGCTTCCACTTATGGGAAGAAACACTAGTCAAGGAAACCTACCAAACACCCATCCCCACCCTCCAACCCAGTTTAGCTAGCTTACTTTACCCTAGAATATAGGACCTGCTAGTATTATAAGGAAATCCCTAGTCAACCATGTCCTGTTTCCACATTGCTTCGTCTAACTCTCTGTAAAACTCACTCTTGCCCGAAATCCTTCAGGAAATGTGTTTCACTGCTTGTAAGGCACTGTACTCCCCCAATCTATGGATTGGTTTCCCTTGAATAAAGAACATCACACTAGTTACTAAGTTGTCTTCTTCCTGTCATTTGACAATATTATGATCTCTTAATCTGCAAAGCTTCTTCCTGTGCTTAGCTACCATCACATATCCCTTGGACTACTGCAGTAACCTCCTCCCTGGGTCTCTTCCATCATTCATTCAGCCATTCATTTTCACAACATTCACATGATGTTTATCTTGAGCTTACTATACACTAATACTTTTCCAGGTGCTAGTATTACAGAGGTGAATAATAATAATAATAATAATAATGTCCCAGATCTCATGAAGTTTACATTATACCCTTACTCAAAAATAAGGCACTTATTGGTACCCTTTCAAAGTCTGCTTTATCTTCATGGTACTTTTCACCATTTGTATATTAATTTATCATTGAGTATTCTCCTTCTCCCCATCATTGGAGTGTAAGCTTCTCAAGGGCAGGGAATGTATTGGTTTTATGTATCCTTAGTATGTGAAATAGGACTCTGCCCATAGAAATTGATCAATAATTATTGGGTGAGTGACTATATGATTTTTAAATTGTGTCTGAAAAAAAGGAGTCAACAGAAGAAATAAAAATGTTTCTACAGCTAAAGGGCAGGTGGTTAGAATCAAGATTTAAGAATATCTATTTCTGGGGCGCCTGGGTGGCTTAGTTGGTTAAGCGTCCGACTTTCGCTTAGGTCATGATCTCGCGGTTCGTGGGTTCTAGCCCCGCGTCGGGCTCTGTGCTGACTGCCAGCTCAGAGCCTGGAGCCTTTTTCAGAGTCTGTGACTCCCTCTCTCTCTGACCCTCCCCTACTCATGCTGTCTCTCTCCTAGAAATAAATAAAACATTTAAAAAAAAATTAAAAAAAAAAGAATATCTATTTCTGCTTCTCTAAGGCTTCTTAGAGTCTCCTGATTCCAGATTTCAGAGCAGGTGAATCCAAGCTGGTGAGGAAATCCCTTTGCTAATATGACACAGTCACAAAACGCTAAGGCAACACATGACTCAGCAGAATAGATTTGGTGCCTGAGCAATGATTAGAGCACTATGCCTTTGAAAGGAGCTGCCATCAGAATGTATGAGAGCATCAAGAGCCTTGTGTTCACTTAAAGAATTAAAAAACAATCGATACTGGGTTTAGAGGTATCAACTAGAGACTAAGAATGGTGTATTGTTTAGGGATCTGGATTTGGAAACAGAGGGATCTTGTCCTTATTTATTTATATTTATTATCTAGTATAGGCTCCTAAACATTGAGAATACAAATATTTGAATAAAATAGACAAAACTCATGCCCTCTTGAAACTCACATTTTAGTAAAGGGACAAGTCAGTGGTGAAAAATGACAACATATAGTGTTTAAAGTGGTAGGAAGTACACTGAGGATAAATAAACGAGGGGTGGGAAGGTGAAAGTCATTCCTGTGCCTTCAGCTTCAGCTGTCATTTTACATACAGAGGTCACAGAAGGCCAGGTGAGCTGATGGTAGCTTGGGCCAAAGGGTAACAGGAGAAGCAGTGAGAAATGGACACATATCAGATATAGCTAAAGGTAAAGCAAACAATAATCTGCCAACAGTTTAAAAAATTTTTTTAATGTTTTTATTTATTATTGAGAGACAGAGAGAGACAGAGCATGAGCAGGGGAGGGGCAGAGAGAGGGGGAGACACAGAATCTGAAGGAGGCTCCAGGCTCTGACCTGTCAACACAGAGCCTGATGCAGGGCTCAAACTCACAAACCATGAGATCATGACCTGAGCCAAAGTCAGACACTTAACTGACTGAGCCACCCAGGTGCCCCTGCTGATGGACTTTTGACTGGGGTGTGAGAAAAAGAGGAATCAAGAATTACATTAAATTTGTTGGCCTGAGCAACTGAAAAGATGAAGGCATACCTCCCTGAGAAAGGGAAAATGTAGGAGGAATAGCATTGAGGGAAAGATTGAGAAGAGGTCTGTGGACATTCCTATTAAATATTGAAGCGGAATGTCGAGCAGGCAGGTGAGTATCCGGGATTGGAAAGCTATAGGAAGATCTGGGTGCAATTCACCCATTTGGGAGGTGTCAGCCTCTAGGTGTTATTTACCGATGCTGGGGGAGAATACCAATGAAAGTGAGGGAGACAGAGGGCAGACAGGTCTGAGGAAGTAAACGTCCTGAGGAGAAATGAGCAACCAGAAGTGGAGAGAATGGCCAGTGAGACAGACAGGACACCATGGGAGCATGGTGTTCAGAAGGTCAAGAATCTAAACTATTTCAA